GAAATGGAAGTGTCAGTTATTAGAAATAAGCCTAAGGTCTGGAAACCAGGAGGACAAAGTAGAGATGGAGAGGGACAACTAGTTTTGGGTAGCCAAGGCAGGCAAGGCCAAATAAAAAGAACAAGGTAGAAGCAGAAATAATTCTGGGGCAGTGATGGTACCATCCTGCTTTTCTTTATGTTAAAAATGGAAGCAGCTGTGGGCCTAGGGATAATCAACAGAAATAGTGAGCAAGGGAGTGAGAGTGTGGTGGCAGAATTGTTACTACAGCACCAGGAGACCTGGAGCTGTAGGTATATTCTTACAGAAATGACCATGACGCTTACAGGATTATAATATGGTTATTTAGCTGTTTAACACATGCATTTGTGTAATATTATATATGTTGTCTTATGCAGCATTCCAGAAGGTTTGGGCTACCTGACCATTATGGCACCAAGAAACCTCTGGCACCTGAGAAGTAACTTTCTCTTTGGTTCAAGAAGGATGATCCAATTTTCAGCAGAAATCCTCTTCAAATCAGTTTCAGTTAGGCTTTTTGGTGTAAAGTGTAGTAATGCAAACAAAGAGCCTTTGGAGAATGAGGACCTATTGAACAACTTACTTACTATGGGAGTAGATATTGACATGGCAAAGAAACGACAGCCTGGAGTTTTTAATAGAATGGTTACTAATGAGCAGGACCTGAAGATGTTCCTTCTATCCAAAGGAGCTAGTAAAGAAGTGATTGCTAGCATCATATCAAGATATCCACGAGCCATAACACGTACTTCTGAAAGTCTTTCAAAACGGTGGGATCTTTGGAGAAGGATTATGACATCAGACCTTGAAATTGTAAATATTTTGGAACGTTCTCCCGAATCCTTTTTTCGGTCCGATAACAACCTAAACTTAGAGAATAATATAAAGTTTCTCTACTCAGTTGGATTGACCCGTAAATGCCTTTGTCGATTGTTGACCAATGCCCCTCGTACTTTCTCCAATAGTCTTGAGCTGAACAAACAGATGGTTGACCTTTTGCAGAAAGTCTGTTTGTCATTGGGTCACAATGATCCTGCAGATTTTGTCAGGAAGATAATTTTTAAAAACCCTTTCATCTTAATTCAGAGTACCAAGCGGGTGAAAGCTAACATTGAATTTTTACAGTCAACTTTCAACTTGAACAGTGGGGAACTGCTTGTTCTGATATGTGGTCCAGGAGCTGAAATCCTAGACCTTTCCAACGATTATGCCAAAAGAAACTATACAAATATCAAAGAGAAGCTGCTTTCTCTTGGATGTACTGAAGAAGAGGTACAGAAGTTTGTCTTAAGCTATCCAGATGCGATCTTCTTGGCAGAGAAAAAGTTTAATGATAAAATAGACTGCCTCATAGAAGAAAAAATTTGCATTTCACAAATAATTGAAAATCCTCGGGTTCTGGATTCAAGCATAAGTACTTTAAAAAGTCGAATCAAAGAATTGGTAAATGCTGGCTATAACTTGAGTGCATCAAACATCACTCTTCTGTCTTGGAGTCAAAAAAGATATAAAGCTAAATTGAAAAAGTTAAGCAGTTAGAACATTGTTCAGGGACTTTTAAAAAATCAGTCATATAGTGATATTTTATTTTGAATTTGGGCCTTTCAGAAAGGACAGTTGATTTTTTAACTTCAGATACATACATAGTGATCCTTTGGCTATTTGGCTTTATAGATTAATAAAAACTCTTGGTATGCTGAAGTATCGTCCTCTTAGCTGTCTCTTCTCTAGTTTGAATTAATGCAACATACCATTAGATGATACAGGCTATGGCTGCTTTACAAATGGCAGTTCCTCAGTGTCAAGGCAGAACAATGTGTAGGAAAATAGAAAGTACAAAATAAGCTTTGTTTTTTCTGTTCAGATTAAAAAATTGACAGACTCATTTAGGTAGTTATATTTCCTCTCATGATTTCGAATGGCAACCTGCTTCTCCTTTCTTTAGTGTCTGTGGTTCATGTTAAAAAGTAGAATGCCAGTAAAAATAGTAAAAGTCTGACAAAGTAGAAAGGAGGGATTTTTCATCCCAAGTTTTACATTCTCCATTTAAACCGTTAGTGTGCTTTCTCCACTTCCCCCAGGATTTACTATTGGTGTATCCTGATTTCTTTGAAGACAAGGGCAACTGTAGTAAGCAGAATAATGGCCACCTAAAGACACCA